ATTGATGTCACTGTTATAGGACGGTAGTTGTTTACGTCAGCTTTGTCCCCCTTTCTTTTAGAGATCATGCTCATCCTGCTAAGTTTCCATCCATCCAGGACTTCACCACCGATTATTTTTCTGCTCACTGCCTCTCTCAAAGTCTGTTTAGACTTCGGACCCAACGTCTTTATCAGCATAATTAGAATGCCATCTGGGCCTGTTGATGTACTACTTGGCACCCTCTTCTCAGCCCTTTCCCACTCTCGTTCTCAAAATGGAGCCATTAAACCACTTGATCCATTCTTGTCTATTCTGGTGCATAAGGCACTTTGTTGAAAATTTTCTGTCACCCTTGTTATTATATATCCGATAACTTCGTCTCCTTCTAGCCTAGCACTTTGACCTGTAGTTATAAACCTCTGCTCTAGGCTTGTTTCATTTCTTAGGGAGTTTGGATGGTTCCGAAATTTCGCAGCTGCCTTTCTGTCCTTTTTATGTACTTCTGCCAGCCACTGAGCACCTTTTTTTCAAATCTTTTCATTGATCAGGAGGGATGCTTCCCTTCTAGAACTTAGAAAGACTTCCCATTTTCTTTCAAAATCATCTGTTGGTTCACCCCGTTGTTTAGCATGTCTGTGTTTTCTAGAGGCATCGTGACGTTTTGCTATGGCTCTCTTAACTTCCTCATCCCACCAACTCTTGGGCTTGTGTCTTCTTTTCCGGGGTGACTTGTCACGTGCCTTAGCAAGCTCTAGCCCATACAGTCTAATTAAATTTGTGCATGTTCACACAGTTTTATTATCCTCAGTGATTGCTTTCTCAATTTGTTTAGTAGCAATTTCTATTTGCCTTTCTGAATGAAAATTTTCCTGTAGTTGCTCATCTTGTCTCCTTCCCACTTTCGCTGCTTTTCCAAAACTTAGCTTGATACGTTTGTGGTCACAATCCAGACTTCTGGAGCCACCTTCATCTATGTACATTCCCCTGAGCTTAACATACATCCTATGTGACATCAGTGTGTAATCTATCATTGACTGAATCGTTCCTACCTCCCCTGTTATTTGCCCTTCACACTTCTCTGTACTTTTGCAAATGATCAAATCATGCATTTCACACATATCCATGATCATTTTGCCTGTTGAGTCAGTATACCCATCTATATCTTCTATGTGGACATTCATATTTCTTTGTATAAGTATCTCGCACTCTCCTCCTAACTCCTGAATGTCATTTGATATACACTCTACCATTGCCTGGTTTTCCTCTCTGGTCTTTGCTCCCATCCACAAGTACACCAAACCAAGGAGTGTCATCTGCACAGCTACTTTCTCTCTTAACCATAAATGTTCCATGCATCCCTGCTTGACTCTTTGCCAACCCATGCTCTTATGTATGAATGCACCAATTCCACCCCCTTTTTGCTGCCTTCTGTTCTATTGCAATATTTCCCTACGTAGTCCGGATTGCAAGGTGGTTGCTGCATGTCCCGAAGATGTGTCACCACAACCCCATATACCATCAGCTCCTCCTGCCTCAACTGCTCTTCTATCTCTTCCCACTTTAACCTATTTCTGCCATCCTTCATGTTGATATAGCCTACGTCGGACTTAGCCATGCCCTTGTGCTTACGATATTGTTGGTCGCGAGCGCCACTGCGCGGCGCTTGCACACAACTGAAGGCAGGCCAACTCCGCTGGGAGCGTGAGCTATTTTTCAGGCAGCTTTCTAGAGGAGGCGTTGGCCTGGCTACAGTGAACTAGAATACCTTCTAGAACACTGTAGCCTGGCGCAGTGAATTGTGGTGGTGTGGAGGGGGTCTTTCCGCTTGCTTTTGTCATAGCCTCCTAGATTTCTCTTACCATCCGGATTATCGGTGGTCACTTGAAAAGCGACCGTCGTCAGAACTATTGTGGTGGCGCTACCTAAGTATGAATGTTTTCAAATAAATTTTACGTTTTTAGAGCCTATATGCAACAAAAATAACGCAAGAAGTTTTAAAAAAGCGTATACGTGACTATATTTAACCCTACGCAAATGACGCCGTCATTAAGCAGGCAACTCCTTGCCTGCAAGGCATAGCCTCTAAAATTAGTAACAAACTTTACTATTGCCAATCTTAAAGGCCAATTACAAAAATCCTTATTCCTACGGAGATAGCGCTGCCTTAGATGACGGACGTTTCACGCTCTGCCGGCAGGCAAGGAAAATCTAGGAGGCTATGCCTTTGTAAACGCGCAGCCGGGAACAGCGAAGTGTACCACGTGACTTTTTCAACGCGTGGCCGAAATACTCTTGCGGCTCAGCTAAAGTGAGCTAGAATAGGGTAGTGGGCTCACTCGCCAGCCGGCGCCATGCATTGCGGTGACGCCGCCAATGTCACACAAACGTGCTTTGGCGCGCCTCCGCGGCACGGCGCCACCGCCGCATTAAATGTAGCGAGCGTTGGCGCTGGGGCAGTTGCTGCCTGTTTGGAGTGGCGGTCGGTGTGTGCGAGTTTTGTTACTTTGAGAACTCGTCGCGCTTTGCATCCTCAATCTCCTAGGTTCTTCGGTGAACACTGATGTGGACTGACAAGCAGTGACCCTCAAACGAGGTTAAAATGCTTCCGCGGCGGCAAAACCACTGTTTTGCGCCACGCTGTCGTACAGGTTACGTCCACGTGAAGGGCAGCAAGAAGCCGTCTTTGTTTGGCGTTCCGAAGGATGCAGCCCCGAAGAAGCAATGGGAAAGAAATTTGCATCGGGCGGACAAAGCCCTGGACGACACATCTGCCGTGTGTGACCTTCATTTTTAGTCTAAGTATGTGCATCGGGACTACGTGCATATAATCTACGTGACTGCCCTGCGTGTGACTATAACCAGTGTGCTAGAAATGCTTTCTTATTTGACAGGGAAAGTAGCATTTAAACGCATAATGACATCAAAGAGCAGCCAAGACTCATTAGAAAATTTATTTGGTATTATACGTCAGCCATCCGGCAGCAACGACCACCCACGCCAACTCAGTTTTTGCTAACCATTACTTGTCTGTCATTCTATGGTCTCGTGAAAACAGTTAGCCAGGGGAATTGTGACCAAGGCGAGCTAGCTTCATTACTGGAGGTGAATGCTGCTACTGACACACTGCCACAAGACGATTCAGTTGGCAGTGCAAGCACTGTGAATGAGCCTAGTTTTGTGCCAGCACCTACTGACCACAACCAGCATATTGCTAGAAGTGATTCCAGGCTGATCTTTTTTTTTATGTTGCTGGCTATATTGCGCGAAAGTGTGTCATTAAAACAAACTGCGAAGTTTGCATAACATTACTCGCGATGCCAGTTCAAGGAGAAGGTTTTCAACTCGTTCGTTTAACCACCTTTCGTAATAAAGGTGGACTGTTGTATCCATCTAGCCACCTGTACAGTTTTGGGAGCAAGCTAGAAAACATGTTTACGGAGTGATTTTCTTACCACAAGTTGCATTCTGACAGCATTTTGGATGTATTGACAATCCTGAAAGAAAAGTTTTCCCAAGAAGTTGGGTGCGCATAACACGCCCCTGGCCTCTCAAAAGACGTAATCAGCTTTTATATTGTTAAGCGGTTTTGTGAAAGGCATTAATTCTGATAGAAGCGGGAAAAGGCAAAGCATCCAAAGTTGAGCCGCTGCTCCTGAAGAAGAAATATCCAGTAAGCAACTGTGCCCAATATATATCTGATGAATAAATTTTCATGTACTTGTGCCCAGTACTTGGGCAGAGTGGCTTCCTGTTTTTCTTATCTGTGGATTTTTACAGTCTTTGCATAGGAATACTCAGTGGAGAAATAGCCAAATTACAGAGACAAAGATAATGGAGATCTGCAGAAAGAATGAGCAGCTGAAAAATTTTAAATGCTGTGAAATGTATAGCATTAAGTGCTCGGGATAAACTCCCGAGTGTGTGCCAAGGTCACCATCGGTAATAATTTCACACGCTCGTAAAAGGCGTGCGTGACGAAAGTAGGGCCCGAGAAATGCAAAGAATCCAGTTTACAATTGATAGCCGCGCAACGTAAGCTTTGAAAAGTTCGCCATCGCTACTTATCACTTGTAAGAGAATTTAAATGCATCTCATGTTTGCATAGCATCCCTTGCATGCATCGAGTTCTGCATGCAGTTTAATCGTGCGAGTTACGCCGATGGAGTTTATGAAAAGAATGTTTTCTACAGCTTTATTCGCACGAGTATTGACGGTATTCGGCGTGTTTCATTCAATATCAAATAACGAGCTAACAGTATAGCTGCATACACCATGCTACAGTGTTCTAGATGGTTATTACGATAGACAGAGACAAGAAGGACATGAAAGTCGTTGTCTCTGTGTCGTCGTTATGTTCTCGCGCTATAACTATCGTCATGCCATACCAACTAGCCCAAGCTGCCACACTTCTAGATGGTTACCTACGCGCACATGTAAGCCAACGGCTTACGCACCTAGCTCCGCGCTAGTTTTTTTCTTTATTTTTATTGTCTTAGCGACATCAGCATCACCGTTTACACTGCCGTAATTCGCGTGCATTTCCGTCCAGTGCATGGGATAACAGCGCACAAAAAGCATGATTTCAGTTGCGCACCAACGCCTCCGTCAGGCAGTGCCCTACATCCACGGAGGAAGGAAAAAGGTTTTTTCCTTCCTCAGTGCCTACATCGAAGTCGCTGGTGGCGCCACCACACGTGTGACATACCCGGCGTCAAGCAGGGGACCCCAGCAAGCCCACTACCCTATTCTAGCTCACTTTAGCTCAGCCGTACATGCGACACAGTCACACAGCACGAGTGCACAGAAAACGCCATCAGTGCTGCCTGCCGAAGAAGCCATAAGCATTTACCGTCAATATTTTGTGCCGGTCACGAGCGCCACTGCGCGGCGCTTGCTCAAAATTAAAGGCAGTGTGACTCCGCTGGAAACACGAGCCATTCGTCAGGCATCTTAATAAAGGAGGCACTGACTGGCATTATTGCGCCCGTGGTTGTGCCTTTTTTCAAATATTTCATGTGCTTCCGTTGCGTCGAGTGCCATGTGTGGGCGTACGGCTTGGTGTGTATAACGTCCTACATTTAATTGATACGGTGTATCGTCCTAAGCATATAAGTGGTGAACGGACAGACAACCGAATTCGAAGCGTTGGTTAGCTGTCGCGTTCCGCGCACGCCTTTGTTCGGCGAGGTAGGCAATGTGGGCTTGTTGGTGATGCATTTAAAAGAATGTTTTGTAGCGCGAGCTCGCGATACAAATCATCCTTTCAAATGCCGTTGTTCGACTTTCCATAGACGGACCATTGCATGGACAGTTCTGTTAGTAACATTTTTGTACCCAGTTGCTCAAAGGCATTGGTACGACTGTGGCGTGTGAGCATAGTCAACGCTTATAAACTGTTAACGGACGGACAGCGTTCCGTGCATGCCTGTGGTCAACTTTCCACAAACGCACTTTGTTTTGGTTTTACCCAGTTGCTTAAAAGCATTTTACGACCATCATGTGTGAACTTTTTTGTGTGAATTTTTTTTTTCACGTTTCAAGGTCTGAATGGTTTCATCGAGACTTGTGTCCGAATTTAAACCCAACGGTACGCTCAAACGTTGCGCTAAAAAACAAAAAAAAAACAACCTCGTGTTATCATCATATCGTTCGCGAATCGTATGCGTTTTCAATGTTTTTTGAACACCATGTTGCGTTGCTGTTCAGTGGTTTTCTGGCGCCGGTGAACAAACGAGTGGGAAATAAGCACTCGCGCTCATCAGGCGATGCGGCCTGTTTGAGACTAGTCGGCGCATGTTAAATTCAAGAAAAAAAAGTTTTAAGGTACTGTCGTCAGCTAAATTAACACGAACGCTCCGACGCATGACTAGAACTAATGTAGCTAATGCCAGCCGCGCAGCGCTGGGCGCTGTTGCTGAGACAACACCTTGGTATTCGCAGTGCTCATAGACTGTCGCGCCGCGTAACAGAATTCAGGAGCGTCCTCTCAAAAATGATCAGTAGGCAGACGTTACCAATGCACCCTTGTTCGGCGATGCTAGCCGCTGTATTAACGGCTTAGCAAGAAACGAACACAAACCACTTCGTATGTTTCAGGAATCAGTGAATATACCGGACTGTCTGTGACACGATAAATCTGATTCGTTCTTGCGAGGCATGATGTTTTTGTGAAATTATGTGGCAACTCACACTTTTGATTATAGCCCGCAGAGTACATATATCAGCTTCGCAAGATTTTCTGCAACCACTTTGGATAATTAAATGTTATCGTCTGACCATTCCAGTTAAAAATCGCCTTGTTTTACGTGCGTATAGCATTCGTCAGTGCTTTTATAGGGCATGAATCCCATAACATTCATTGCAAGCGGAAAGTAGCGCAGGCTCACGGTTTGCGCTTCCATACCTTGGCCTATGCTGCGCCGCTTGTTTTTTACGTTCCTTGATAGATGGCAGCACACTGGAAGCGACTCCTTTCTTGCCGGGTATCGGAGCGAAATGATCTCCGCACCCCCAGATAAACATGGTGAGTGACGCTGTGTGGGTGTTGTGCATGGTGAATGACGCATTGTTGGTGCTATTGAAGTCATTTGGGGGAGGGAATTCCTCACACTACTTTCAGCAGTGATGTTCAAAAACGTCTTGGCGTCGAGGATTTTTCACTGGACGTAGGTAGATGGTTGTCAACGCGTTGAGAATGACAGCAACAATGAACGATCAGCTACTAGCTCACGAGCAGAAAGTTGCACTTCCCGTTCTGTTGTGTGTTAACATTTTTTTTTCATGCTCGTAAGTCACTTTGATTGTATTTATTGTATAATATTTTTCAGGAAACTCCAAATAAAAAAACATACTTTTTCTTGTGCATTGGATGTTGCCCAGTTACAGTGAATAATACAAAAACCCGCATGCTGCCAATACGCTCGAGCTCGACCAGCGAAGCGAAATGGTTAGAACAATGAAATATGCAGTTACCACTACAGTCCATGTTAACTTCTCCTGCACTTCACCCTTGCCGTTCGAATGACGTTGGTCGACAAATTTTCACAATTTTGACGTTGCGAAAAGAGCACGCATGTATTCGTTTCGATTGCGCTGATGGAACCTGCAACATCCAAATGCAGCGAAGTGCACACTGTTGGAGTCTGACCACGGCTGTGACACGATCGCTACTTAATGGGAAGTTAAATGCTTGTGTTCCATTTAAAAAGCAGCTGCATGATGCTTACAGTGCTAGTAATGACAATGGCGTAATGTGTTTGCAAACCATCGCTACGTTAAACATTTGGTCCTGTGCAGCCGCGACGGCGCGCTACTCGCTAGTGGCCTACTATACTGCGGCAAATCCGCCAGACAGGCTCGGCACTAATGATGTTGGGCTGTCATTCGGTTCGTACATGAATTATAGTTCGCGCAGTTTTCTGTACCACGCACAGGATTACGTAAAGCATCGTTGATACACGGACGATCAGCTGATACCAACACCCTTCGCACTGCGACAAGGAATGAGGTATAGCAAACATTCAGCAGTTCCTATAGTTTAGGAAAGTACTTCGATTCAATTGATCAAGATTTCATCCAGTGAAAGGGGCATGGGGGTACGTTCGTGCGTCCTATCTTTTCCTATGGGAGTTCATGGGCTGATCATTCCTCCGCAGCCATCTTGGATTGCACGGTGTGCCACCTATAGGCCGTGGGCATTGTGAATGCTTGGATACAGTGTACTAGAAGTGTTGAGTGGCGTGACCACGCCTCGCCGCCTGATCCCTTCCGCGTTGCCCGCAGCGGCGGCGCGGCAGTCGAATAGTACTGAAAGAGCCGCACGCCGCGTGCAGGAACTGCTATGCGTTTCGGCTCCTCTGGCATGCTTTCTTGATGAAGATTTTTTTGTACCTGCCCATAATTCATATCTAGCACATGATGCCATAGCCCTTGAAGTATGACACGCCAATCTAGAGAATTTGAGCTTCATAAAATTCCTTGTGAGATATCGAAAATAATTCAGAAAGGGTGTGTCTTATACTGATTTCTTCTCAATTAAATCTTTCTTTGTTGCTTAGGCGTCTACAATATTCAGAATAACTGAGCCGATTTATTGGACGTTAGCTGTGCCCAGAAAGCTGTGAGATTAAAAAACAAATACTGTGTCACATGCACGCAGAATCAGAAAGCCATAAGTAAAGAGAGAAGAGAAAGGGAATCTGGCACCCCCTACACCACGAAATGGTTTCGTAATTTAACTTCTCAGGGTATACTAAAATATTTACACGCATTTACAGTGACCGCTTAATGCCAAAGTTAGGCGTGATGCTGCACATCCCACCCCCTCAGAAAAAAAAAAAAAAAAAAGAAATCTGCCATGGGTAGCCCTGCCCCAATAGTTTACAGTTGGCAAAGCTGAATATAGCGTGTCTCTACAAATGCGCACTGTAGATTTCACCTTTTTCACAGTATGAGGTCTCAAAACTAGTTCAAGTCTAGCATAGTCGGACGAGAAATGCACCGCCTAAATATAGTAGTTGTGCTGAGTTGCATTGCATGTGTGTGTGTGTGTGTGTATTTTTACTGTGTACAAGGAAGGCAAATATCTCAAAACAAGATGCACTACTGCCTGCCAACACTTTTGATACTTAATAATAGAACTATGCTTATAATACAAAACATCGTCATAAATTTGCTCGCTTGCAATGGCCTTACACCAATACAATATTTGAAAGCAGCATAATTTAAACTGGCGATAGAAAATGAGAACTGGTTACAATGAATTCACGCAGATTAACAGACGGGCTATATATACAATCGGAATTTTTAATATGTTTGTGTGTTGTTTTACTAAGTTTAATATGTAATAAGCCTTTCAAAAAGCAATAATTATTATCTTCCGCGAAACTGACATTATAAAACAGAGTCGTCATCGATTAATGTTTTGACAACGGTACTTGAACTCGGGGTTTCTCGTGAAATAAGTGAGTGATGTAGGCTCATATGAGGGACACTGTGCTCTAGATATTGTAGAGACTGCCGACAAAAAAGCGTATGATTTAAGCACAATTTTGCTACTTTTTCTCTTTTTGTAGTTCGCCAGTAGCCACTTATGATGTAACGCAGCTCAAAGCGCTGATTGAGTAAGAAGCTAGGCGGATCCGTGAAAATTCTGATTGACATTTTTTTGTATGGGTCGGCAGGCTCTTGAAACAGTGAATGTATCGACGAAATTTCGGCGTGCCTGCATATTAACTCGTGAACCATAGTGCGTAGCAGGTGTGTCCACTGATAAAGGCTCAGAAATGCAATAAATGCACTAAAAACGAGCAAATACACGCTTTCGCAGGCTCGGGTGTGCGCACTCCCTATGCAGGCGCTCCCGAGATTTTCAGTACCATGGGACTACAGCGCTGCTGCTACTGTCACCCGCCGGAGAATCAGCCGAGATACGGCGCGGCCGCCTTGTTCACTCCACTGCCTCCTTCTAGTACACTGTAGCTTGGATAGTATGTGGGCATGCATGGGTAGCATTTCCCCAACAGAACGCAATGTTACGTGGTGCTATAGCATCAATTGAATTGTTTCAGGACGTGCTGCATAGCGTTCTAATGTCGTGTTAAGCTTGCGGACGACTGCACAGCGGTGAGCACTGTTAGGGTGAACACGCGAGCGCTTGGCCGACAGCACTGTCAGTTCTGCGTAAGACCCATCGCTGGAAACATTGCACATGAGCTGCATACGCTGGGCAATACACTCTTTCCACCGCACGCACCACGTCATGGATTCACTTGTTTGTCGTCTTCCAGCGGCATTTTGTCTGCTAAGCTAAGCTTCCCCGATGTTTCTAAATGTTGGGTGTGTTTATTTCAACTAAGCATATACAAATACATGCACAAACATACATATGTTACATATTGGTCACATCATGCAGACGCCTACTGTCTCTCGAGGCTTCCCCTGCCAACCACTCTATGTGACGCCGACAATTATGACGATTTTCTTGCTGCCATCGACGATACTGCTTTTCCTGACCTCGCTACCTTCCGGGAAGAACAGCGCGATGACCGCAGCTTGGATGATCTCTTTGACTCAGCCGCTCAACCGATAGGTAGCCATGGCTTTATCGTCCGAGATGGCTTACTTTACAAAAAAAATTACGCGGCTGATGGTGCTCGCCTTCTTTTAGTGGTCCCCAAGAATTTGAGAACGCATGTACTCTATGCTATGCACGACGACGCATCAGTGGTGCACCTGGGGTACACCAAAACGTACCACAGCCTGCTGGCTCGATTCTACTGGCCTACCATGCGACGCAATGCAGGAAAGTATGTGGCCAGTAGTGATAAATGCCAGCAATTCAAGCGACCTAATACTACCCTGGTTGGTATCCTCCACCCCTTGATGTCAGCCTCGTCTCCTTTCGAAATGGTTGGAGTGGATCTTCTCGGTCCATTTCCGCGCTCATTGAACAACAATCGTTGGATCATAGTCTGCGTTGACCACATGACACGTTATGTGTAAACCAAAGCACTATCAACAGCCACGGCCATCGATGTATGGAGGTTCCTCCTCTCTTTTGTGATATTGTGCCATGGACCTGACCTGACGGCAGTGTATGTGCACGGCCGCTGGATGAAAGAGTGCACGGGTATGGCCCACCACGTGCTCCAAAACCGGCGTGACAGGCCTAGTTCCCGAACCACCGCTGTGGCACCACCAGGGGGGGGGGGGGGGGGCACAGTTTTCGCAAGCGCCCACAGAATCACATGCGCGGTGCACTTGCGGTAGTTACGATTGAGCGTGTGTATCTTTGTGTGACCCGTGAAATCTAATAATATCCGTCCGGCGTGTTCGCACCAGGTACTTACCGACCTTGCTTTTAGATACCTGCAGCCCTTGCAAGTTTTTGGTGTTGTCTTACCCAAGATGGAACCTTGCACACCGATCAGTTTTCGCGAAAGTAAGGATTGTGAGCACATTTTACTGAGATCCTACAAGATCACAACTAATAGATGTAGAAGAGCTACACCTTTCTAATGCATCTAAATTAATTATAGTAACTGTGAGTATGTCGTTTCAGAAAACGTTGTGTCAAATTTAATAACTTCATGAACCTCAGCAACTGCAGTTGCCACTATTCTTTTAACACAAACTAAGATAGACTTCTCACTTCCTCTAAACACGTGTATAGTATTCCTACAATATAGTATCACATGCAACAGCCACGAAATATACTTAGCATGTGTGTGATCTCATAACATTAGACTCGAGCCTCTGAAATTTAAGTGACTGAAATTTAAATGCTGGCAATTGAGCGAGCAGTTATGAAGAGAATAATATGAAAACTGTGAGACGAAAAGAGTGATCAAATGCTGCAAAACGTGAACACAACTGCTTGCATTCCTGCGCTTATGAGTGTTTTCATCTCTTTCCGTCCCGACGTCCTCACGATAATGCAACTAATTCAACAGTGAACACATAGTCAGAACAAGATGTGTGAAAATATTTAATTTATTCTCAATTTAAGGCTGATCCTGGCATTTTTGTTTGTTTTTAACTTCTTTACACTTTGGCATCATAACACGACTTGACAATTGCTCCAGCTTGTGCGCCCAACTTTTGACTTCTGTGTCTATTGACAATAAAACCATCCGTTCGGTCTTTTCATGTTAGCCTCTCGACGGGCACTGGCAAATCCCGATATCACTACAACGCGCTTGTCTTCTGGCAGTCTCCGTCATGCGGTTCTGTCATCCATTACTGTTTATTTGTTCTACTATGTATCGTCGGCAAATAGGCACCTGTGCTTGCTCAAACGAAGGCACGTCACATGCGCTCGACTGCCCTACAGAAGCACTGGTTTTGTGATGTGTAAATGTGATGTGTAAATGTTTTGTGATGTGTAAATGTGATGTTTGTGATGTGTAAACTACATGGTTAATGTAGTTAAGGTACTCTGTCATCGATCATGAAAGGGAACACGGGAGCGCGGGGCTTGCGCTCTGTGGCCGATAGATGATGCTGAAAGCGAACGTGTGTTCTTTCGCTGTCGGTTCATGGCACTCAAGGTGGTTGCCGCAGAGCGCTGGCCACGTGTTCCCTTTCATAAAGGACGACAGAGTACATTTAAAACTTGTTAACTGATCTCTCAAGTATCAATAGTAACATCCATTTTTCCTACCTTTTTGGCACACACTGCACTAGCTGCGGCTTTATGCGCCCCGCCGCTGTAGTCTAGTGGCAGAAGCAGTTTTATTCACGCTTCACATAACACATTGCTTATTCGCGCTTCACATAATACATTGCTGTAAATGTATAAACCTCGGATCTCAAGCAAAGCATTCTTTGTTACTTTGACTTTACTGCTGCCTGTGTCTTGCTGAAGTGATTGGACACATAGGCACCACCTCTACCTTTACTACGCTGACTGATCTGCTAGCTGATGCCCTTTTTTTTTTTACAGAATTACGCAGTGATACAGTGAATAGTAATGAAATGTTCTCAATGTAAAAAGTGCACATAACGAAGAGCAGAATTCATTTACTAAAAGGGTTATGAACTACCACAAGTGCTTGATGAAAAAAATTGATTTTGGAGAGAGCTGAGAGTGCTGAGCAGCTAAGCCAATATTTGCAGTTGTGCTTGGCAATTAGAGTTCAGAAATGAAGTGCAAAGTTGCCATTTTGTGAAATGCCCTCTATGTATACACCTTTTAATGAAGTCTGAGCCAAATACTACAACTGTTTCAATCAAACTGAGCCACATTCATTAAATCAGTACTGCGTCAACAATAGTGACCAAAACAACCAGCATGGTCTCACCCAAAACGTTTAATTTGTGTTCTAGTTTCTTTGTTATCGTGTTCACACCCCACAGTTAGGTTTTTATAAGACAAGGTTATATGACAGCACTCTGTATTCAATGACAGAACTCTGTTATAAATAATAAAAGGCTGACTTTCCTACTTCTTTGTGTATCTTACTGATTCTTTTCAAGCTTAGCACTATAATATGAGGTCTTCCATTTGCTCCAACATGGTAAATTTGAAATAAAATGCCCTTATTTACAGAATAGTGTGGTTTTTGCCAGGAAAGTCCACTCGCTCTTCAAGTCTTGTAATCGTCATTACGCCCATGCGACGAAGCACAGCACTGACAGGAGCACAAGGATGATGGTAATTCTATCGCAAAACATTGCTGCTTCGTACATTTTATTGATTTATTTATTTCAGAAGTACTGCCAGCCTTACACATGAGGCCTTAGGCAGGGGTGAGTGATACAAAAAAGGAAACAAATATGAAGATACAACAGGAAAGGAAACACGTCACGTAGAGCTTACACCATGAAGAACTAGTACATAAAAGTAAAATGCCAGTACTTACACAATTGTAGTGGTTTACGCGTACACATACAAAAAAAAAAACTATGATGACAAACATCTGCTCATACAGAACTAAGAAACAAATATCATATGTATTTGCATGGCTTTCAAACTTTTTAACTAACCGACAGCAGTTTGTCTACGCTAACAACAGTTCTTCATCCTTATCTCCTGTCCTATCAGGTGTTCCTCAAGGGACGGTCCTCGGGCCCTTACTTTTTCTCATATACATCAACGACCTACCAGACAATATTTCTTCAAGCATTCGGTTGTTCGCGGACGACTGCGTCATTTATCGCCCCATTATCGATCCCAGTGATAACGTAGCACTCTAGCAAGACCTAAGGAAGATAGACGAATGGTGCAACAAATGGCTCATGGTGCTAAACGTTCACAAAACATCCATCATGTCATTCCACAGGCGTCACTCCTATTCCACGTACAAATATTTCTTAAGTGGCTCCGCTATATTTCCTGTCTCGTCCACTAAATATCTAGGTCTTCTTATTTCTCATGACCTTACATGGTCATCCCACATAAATCGCATTACCAGTGACGCGAATCGCGCGCTGGGCTTCCTCTGACGTAACATTAACCTGGCTCCGTCCACAGTTAAATTATTGGCCTACGAAACGCTTGTTCGCCCAAAGCTGGAATTCGCGTGTGCAGTCTGGGACTTACCACAAGCTAACTCAAGTACCATCCTCGAATCCGTTCAGAACCGTGCGGCCAGATTCATCTTTTCCGATTATTCATACCACACAAGCGTAACACTTCTTAAACGTAAAGCTAAATTGCCAAGTCTCAAAACACGACGTACAGTAGCACGATTTTTCCTCTTCCACCAATTCTACAACTCGTTATCATGCGAAAGCCTCCACATAAAAACTGCTCGCCACCCATCGAATCGCCTCAACCACTCAAAAGCAGTATACCCACCTCGTGCACGCACGACCGCCTATCTAAATTCATTTCCTGTTCTGACAGCCATCGAATGGAACAGCCTTCCTGAAAGTGTCGTCACCAAAACAAACCCGACTCAGTTCAAAGCTGCCGTTGAAAAACTTCTGTACTGATTATTTTTGTGTCATGTATGCGATTATCCTTAGTGGTGTTATCTGCTTCGCTGGTTGGCATTGTATGCTTTTTATGCTTCGTTGGTATGCTTCGTTGGTTGGCATTGTATGCTTTTTATTAACAGAGCGTGCTTGATACCCTTTCGTGATACGCTCGTTTTCTTTTTTTTTGTGTTTGTTGATCAGTTGTGTAATTTTCGTGCTTCAACACCCCTCATGTAAAACCCCACTCATTGGGGTCTTTGAGGTACCTGTAAATAAAAAAAAAAATATAACGTTTCAAAAATTGCAACATTTCAAATTTCAAAAATACAATGCATTGATATGAAAAAAGTGATAAAAAAGTGGAACATAAATGGAAGCCTGTTCAGGATACGCAGTGGAAAAATAGAGGGCGAAGCGCAAAGAAAGATCAAAGTCAAGTGGGTTGCTGGTGTTTAAGTTTCTCCATGAACGACTGAACGGTTTCGCAGTTCACCAGATCGGCAGAAAGAGCATTCCAATTAGTGACAGTGCGCGGAAAAAAAGTGTTTTTAAAAGCTTTTGTTTGACAGGAATATTCCTTCAGTTTTTTTGGATGCTCAGAACGAGTTGATCGTCGGTGAACCGTTTTTATGTACACATGCTTGTCTATGCGTAACTTGTCGTGGTGAAGTAGAAACATGTACTTCAATCGATCGTGTTGCCGTCTTGCCTGCAAGGTATCCAAGTCGGCTTTTTTTAACAGTTCACTGGGTGACGTCAGAGCGCTGTAGCGATTATATACAAATCGGATTGCTTTTCTTTGAATCATTTCAAGTGTTTTAATATTTACTTGGCTATGAGGGTCCCAAACCACAGATGAATACTCGAGGATTGGACGGATAAATGTTTTATACGCAATTAATTTTAATTTGGGGGTAGATTTGCGCAAAGAACGTCTTAGAAATGCTAGTTTCTGTTAAGCTTTCTTTTCAATGTAGGCAACATGCTCATTCCACCTAAAATCTGCACTTAATACAACCCACAAATATTTATAAGTTTTAACAAACGATAGTTTTTGACCATTGATGCAATATGAGTGTTTCAAAGGAAGCAGCTTGCGCGTAACGGTCATAGCTACCGTTTTCTTTTCATTAATCTTCATTTGCCACACTGCACACCAAGAAGATATTTTTGTTAACGCTGTGTTTAAAAGAACCTGGTCGTCTGCACTACGTATTTCCTGAAAGAGAATGCAATCATCTGCAAATAACTTAATAGAAACCGGGATATCATTGGCAATGTCGTCTATAAAAATTGAAAAAAGAAGTGGCCCAAGCACAGAGCCCTGAGGGATTCCCGATTTCACTGGTCGTGAATCAGACTGGACGTTATCTATAGAAACTATTTGATTTCGATAAGGAAGGTAGGCCTCAATCCATGAAGTTAATGTACTGTTCTGTTTTTTAGTATAGGTTTAAGTTTCGCGAGAAGTTTTGGGTGCGACACGTGATCAAATGCTTTTTCGAAGTCTAGGAAAATCATGTAAACCTGGCCTTGCCTATCTAGAATAGCTGCAATGTCATAAACGGTTTCCAACAGTTGTGTGACGGTTGAGAATCCTTTTCGAAAGCCGTGTTGTTGGTCATTGATTAAATTATTTTCCTCGAGAAAAACTGAGAGATGCTTGAATATAATATGTTCTAATACCTTCGCACATGAGCAAAGCAGGGAAATCTGTCTATAGGCGGAGACGAGAGAAGTGTTAGATGATTTGGGTATAAGGATAATTTTTCCGAATTTCCAGTCATCTGGAAGCGCGCGCTTTGACAGTGACATTTGAAAAATGATGCTCAAAAATTTCGAGCACCATTCAGCATACCTCACAAGGAACGTGTTAGGTATGCTATCAGTACCAGGTGTCTTTTTGGGATCTATGTTAAGAAGTAGAGACAAGATTCCTTCCTCAGATATTGTAAGGTCACTTATTGGTGGGATATCATGAAGCGTTTTTGAACATGGTTTACTTCCATCGTCATCAGTAAATACTGAACAAAAAAAAACGTGTTAAAAGATTCTGCAATAGTTTTTTTATTAGTTACGATAGTCCCATTAACACATATATTATGAAAACGCTTCTTGTTTGGGGCGAAATGCTGCCAGAATTTCGCTGGAGATGACAGCAAGAAGTTTTCTAAAGTGACGTTATAGTACTGATCTTTTGCTTCCTTGATACTGTCTTTTAATTCTTTACGCACGTTACTGAGTTTAAGCATGGTCGACGGAGTGGGGTTCTGACGATGCCGTTTTCTTATCCTGTTTGCCTTTCACCCCAAATGAACAACTGGCATAGTAATCCATGGGCTAACATTTTTTATTATTTTCACTTTTTCTGGCACAAAGTCATGAACGCACTGCAACACAAGGTTTTTGAAGAAACACCAAAGGTTGTTAACAGTACAAGTACTAGATTCAGAAAGTAAAGTGAATCGAGAAAAATGTAAGTCTAATGTGTCCAGTATTTCTACGTCTTTTGCGCGCGAGAAGACAGACACCACGCATTCTTCCCTCTTGCCTTTTGGAACGTCATTAAGATTAATGCACATGTAAACCAATTTGTGATCGGATATTCCATCAAGCACATTGGTGTCTGCACACGACGCAGCATGCTGTTGCTAACGAAAAAAAGATCCAGAGTTGTAGCAGTAGCATTCTGTACGCGAGTTGGTTGCTTAACTAGTTGAGTTAAATCATGAAAAAGGACTATATCGACTAAACGTTTCGCTGCATTTGAAGACGGTACAGGAAAATCAGTATCCCATATAAGTGAAGGAGCGTTGAAATCACTGCCAACTATTATATTACTAGAGCAACTGTGGACCATGCAAAGAAATTCATTAAGCTTATCAAAGAATACTTCGTCTGTGCCTGGGGGGCGGTAAAAAGCGCCGACTATGAACTTAAGATCGCCTGTGTCTACTTTCACAATTACGCATTCAAAATCTGGTATATCGGCTAATCTTTCAACTTCTAAGGTTTCCTTAAATATGATTGCAACTCCGCCGCCTCGACTACTCCTATCTTTGCGATACATGCGGTAACCCTGGGGCGTGATCTCATCGTCACTAACGTCGGCGCGAAGCCAGGTTTCAGTTATTATAAAGAGGTGAGGGTGACACGTTAACACAACACTGTCTAAATCATCGCTTTTTGCTAGAATACTACGGGTGTTAATATTTAGGCATCGGAAAAGTCTCCCGTTCTTGTCGTTTCATTTGTTGCGAGTTGCTCTGGTAAGCGGTCTGCTCGCAGAGACAATTCCACGCTGAACTTCATCTAATGTTAGCAATCGATTGTCAATCTTAATTTTGTCATGTACAAGTTTAACCTTTGTGCCAGATTTCCTAATATCTGAAGTTCGGTTCCATAGTAACTTCCTGACGTGCCGAGTGCTTGCAGAGAAATCCTCCGAGACTGAGATTCCCTTCCCTTTTAATTTGAAGCAACTTTTGAGAACGTTAACTTTTTCCCTGTGGTTGAAAAACTTCACGATCACTGGGCAATTTTTGCCATGCTGCCTTTGCCCTAGCCTATGAATTCGCTCGACTGAGTTTACGTTCACGTCTAAAGCATGCCTGAACACATTGCAGACTACGCTATCCATGAGGTCGTCAGAGGCGTCATCATTCTTTTCCGGTATGCCGAACACAACAAGGTTGTTACGCCTCTTCTGTCCTCTAAATCAACGAGCTTACG